GGAAGAGTTTGTTTTTTATTTGTTTCCTTGAACGCGGTAATCTCCGTAACTACAAGTCTAATTTGAATGATTATTTTTGTGTTGGATAGTGCACTTATCGAGGAAGGCTATAGACTATAAAACATCACGATACGACTAATAGGCGCTGAGCAGAGTGTGTGAAACCGCGCGGAAATAACTAGTAAGAAATAAATCGTGTATCATTGTTTCATTAAAACATCTCGTTACGACCAAGACACTGAGCAGCGGGAGAAACCGTGCCGGGTAGCTAGTATAGTATAAAGATATATATTTTCAATCAGTTCTAAGAGGGCTACAAATGAACGTTACTCAATCAGAACCATTTACAGGCACTTCGCATTCAAAGTAGATCTTCGTTAGTACAAAGCGATGTAAGAATGCCATTTTCGATCTTATGTCTTTATTTTTAGATTCACAATGACTAAGTTAATTTGAATGAGTTTAAATGGAAGTTCTGAATACGAATTTTGTTTTGTTATTGTTTTAATTGGTAATCTGATATTGTACTTCTTTTTGGGCTATTTTTGTTAGAGTGTTGTAAAACCGGATTGTTTTATTTAAGTATTTACTTACTAGCTTTTTTTTGAGGGGGAAAATCATCCAATGACTTCTCCCACCCGGGTGAGGCGAGAGGGAGTGTCAGACTTTTACTGACTAAAAACCACCCCGTTCCTACTCCTGCACTTCGAGCCGGAGCCCCGGCAACCCGTTAAGTCTTCCGCGGCTCCGTATTAGCATCAGCCCTGTTGTGGTGGTCTGATGGCTTTTTGAGGCGCGCGCGGAACGCGACGCGCCGTACGCTCGGGCCTGGTCGAGGTGTGATTCTAAATACAATTTAATCCTTCTTACTAATATTATAAAATATGCGAAAGTCTGCGAGGATGTATGTGTGTGTGTGTGTGTGTGTTTATTACTCTTTTACATCAAAACGGCTGACTAAATTAGGATGAAATTTAGAACATAGGTAGGTTATGGTCTGGAATATCACATAGGCTACTTTTATCCCAAGAAAACGCGGGCAAAGCTGATGCAAGAAGCTAGTATTTTAATAAAATCTGCATCAAAACTCATTTTTGTAGCGTTGAAAAATATTTTACTTTAAGAGAAAATACAGATATTATTCCTAAGCGAGCGTTCCTCGCTCTTAATTCTATTTTGTTTTGTCCAGAAGTTGCTTCTTGAAGTATAAATTAGTTTCATCTTTCGATTTTATTTTTATCTATTTTGTAAACTGAAGTCCGAGTTTTAGTTTTCATTTGAACATTGTTTTATTTGACTACAAACTTGAGTATTACTTTTTTAATTAATATTAGTATACGGTTTCGTTTACACTTAGATATATATAGGACCCAACAGACGTTGTCCTGCATATCCACTTGAATGTATAAACAAAAATTCATTCAAATTAGTTCAGCTGTTTAGGATAAATAACCTAAATATCGACTGCAGCGTCATCTGCCGGGCTCATTTGTGAATCTAAACCATTCCCAGATCCCCTTGAACACACACAAAAAAATTTCATCAGAGTCGGTCCAGTAGTTTGGGAGAAGTTCAGTGACATACACACTTACAGAAGAATTATCTATATAAAGATGTCTTAAATATACTGATTGTATTATTTACTGATATTTGTTCATGCAACGCGGTGGCTCGGCAACTGGCTGCCGAGCAACGTGTCACGGATTTCATTCCCGCACGGAACAATTCTTTGTGTGATAAACAGATTGTCGTTCAGAGTCTGAATGTGATGTGTATGTGAAATTGTTTGTTTGTAAACGCAGCCACGACACAGTAGAAAATTCTAGTATAGGTTTTCTTTAGAAAAATAAAAGGATATACCATATATAAGGATAGGAACCTAACGAGTTACCAGGGCTCTGGCTCGACGTGCAGGAGAAGGAACATGGTGGTTTTTAGCCAATTAGAGGCTGACACTCATTCCCGCCTCATCCAAGCGGGAGAAGTCAATCGATTATTTTCCCCCCTTAAAAAAATACAGTCAATAAGTACAATTTCGGTTCATTTAATAAAATCTAAATTGACAACTTTTACAGATTATTACTATAGAATCCCATAACATTGAATCCAGAATCTTATGTACATACATAATCATGTATCAATTGTCCCATACTCATATCCTATACTTAGCTATATATACATATATACATAGGTAATATAACCTCCTTTGTGAGGTAATCGAGCGGCAATTATCTGTGAATAGATAATATCCGACGTACCCATGACGTCGCATCTCGATGAATATATATTGTGACAGATGAGCCTATGTATAAATTCAGGATGATTGATAATTATTATTATAACAATTGATTTGTACCATCTAAGCGCGTTGAAAAAAGGCGGACATAGTCTCTTGAAACACTATGGCACCTGGCTACTACAGACTTATAAAACGCAGAATATTCACACATTGACACGAAGGACATCTGTCGCGTCACATGGCCCATCATTACACTTCATATATTACGGTGATGCAAGTACACGCACACATAAATACACCACTGACTGGTGCTTCAGTAATTTCTAAGTGATGTTTGTCTTTTTTCAACATTCTCGGTACCACCCTGTAGAATGTTCCAATGATGTAAAGGTCTTTTCTTAAACAGAAAAGTTGCACAGTTCAGCACGTGGCTTTAGAACATTCTTGCCAGAACATTATTACAGAATTGTAATAATATCAATGATTATAAGTAAATATTCGACTAGTAAACCATAACAAAATGTTCATGTAAATAAAAAATCACTTTATACTTTTTCACCTTAGTCTCTGCCATTTGAGCGACCCATGCATATAATATTTTTGACGTGACAACGTCTTATAAATTGGTTTGCCGGGTGACACTTCAAGAAACTGCGTTACGCTCCGCTCACGTTATGCGCTCACAATGAGAGCGAGTGAGAGGCACGCGTCCCTTCCACTCGAGCATGGTTAGCCCGCCTAAGAGCGAGAGAGACAGACATAAATTACCACTCAAAGTCGTTGTCACGTAAAACTTTCGCCCGTATACCGACTTTACAGGCAACCAATGTTTGTGCCATAAAAATATAATAAACGGCTTTATAAATGTGCGGATATAGGAAGCGAATGAATGAAAAAATAAACAATAAATTAAGTGCGAAATATGAAAAAAAATACAGTCATTTATTAATCTGACAATCAAGCTGAAACGAAGTACTGAACTACCCACTCTAATCTAATTGGGAGAACGACAGCGAAAAATAAATATACATTGACATAAATCAAACAAGTGATCCGCTGTTGCCTGTCACATCGACATGGCCAGTAAATTATTTATGAAAAACGGAATGAAAATACAAAAAAAAAATCCCTTTTATCTCACTCGACAAAAATGTTATGAATTCACAAAATGCTTATATTAACAGTCTCCTTCAAGTTTATTTTGATGTGGTTCTCAGTTTTTTTGTTAGAGACCCTTTTCAGGGTGTGCCAGACTTTGGGATAGCTTTAAAGTACATATTGAGGTTTAGATATTTTATTTATATGAATATAATTAAAGCAGAATGCCGTGTGGAAATTTAAAGGGTAGATTTGTCACTCCATTTACTCTTATTGGGGCGTTGAGCAGCAGTACACTTCGATAACCCTTTACCTAAACAGTATTTTCCGAATTTGCAAATCTAGAAGTTAGTTATGGGACGACGTGCTCCAGCGTAGACCGCATCATCGCTTACCACCAGGCGAGATAGTGGTCAAACGTCGGTCCAATAAATATAAAAAAAAAAGTTAGTTAGATGTATAATGTCTTATTTTACTTAATTGGTCTTAATAAAATAGCATTGTTTCAATTGCAAAACCTAACCTAATCTAGTTTAGTAATCTTATAACGGTAGTAACTAAAACGACTTAACCTAACCTAAATAAAGAAAGTGTTTTTATCTTGCATGTAGTTATTGCTTTTGTTAATATGTCTAGTACGCATAGTGAGTTATGATTCAATATATTATGATGTTTGATTTTTTTAATCGATTCTGTTTGTATTAAAAGTTATCCTGTTTTGACTTTTACCAAAAATGTATTAAATTTAAAAGGTTTTTCTAACTTAAAAAACAAATTCTTTTAGCATAAAATAATCCTCAAAAGGCGCCATCAGTCATTCAAATCCATCGTCAATCCCGTTAAATCAAAGAATCTGATCATTTGAATTGTAAATTCTATACCATTAGCATAAAGTACAAAATTCACTGAAGCTTTAGTGGTATTCATTTGACAGCGAAATCAAATCACATTGATGTTTTAAGTCGGTACACAACTTTGTTGTTTTGAATGAATAATTTTGTGATTTGGTCTTTTTGTACTTTTCACTGAAAATCTTTACGGAAGTGTTGAAAAAAGAGCTTCCAGAATAAAAATATTATCAAATAAGGAAATAAAATAATTAACAGAGTAATACAAAACTCAATTTAAATATGATCCAAAATGAAGTACTCGTTTCGAGGATTACCTGTTCAGAATGAATGCATGCGAAAACCGTAATATAATTATCATCATTGCAACAGGCATGTTCCACCCTCTTGTTCCATATAAACCTCCATACACACACCTACATACGACATATGACAGCAAATGTGTAATCAACGCTATATGTATAATTATGTCCATGTTATTGAATGTCTGGAATGTGTTCATCCAATTATCGGCATTGTGTTATTGTAAGCACTCCATACAGTTGTCCATAGTTTATGCGACGACGACAGTGACCCAATTCGTGTGTACTGATAATGGTGTTCTATTAAATATTTTTAAAAATATTTGTTTTATTGACGCTGAATGAATCAAATTATCCGTCAAATTGGGCTACTGTATGGAGTTAAACTGTGCTACCAAAGCTTGCTTTCATATAACATGACCTAATAAAGCATAATACGTGTGACATGTCCATCCATGTTCCCATGTGTATGTCAATGTGTAGTCCTCATACATTATGTGTTGTGTTGCACAGCGAGCCTGCCCCGTCAGCAATGACAGCACTGCATCAGTTTGGGGCAGAGATGTTGCGTCTATCTCGCGGCTTGGAAGCTTCTGCGGCGACAAAGCCACAATACAGAGGGTATATAACAATTGGCATTATTTGTTCGCTTCAAAATTAACCCGCTCATCATTGGCTGATCGAAGGACCAAAAACTTCCATCCAATATTGAACATATTCTAACACAATTTTATTTTACAGGACGAACATATCTGAACGAGGTGGGATGCTCACTCCAGGGTCTTTGAGCGTCTCATCCAGTTCACCGTCGTCGATGCTCCAAGACCGACGTAGACCTTCGTCTACAGGAGAGCCAAACACTCCGCTTCATAGGCCAAGAAGTGCGTCTGACGATGAAAGTAATGAAGGTCTGTTAGCTCCTGCAGCTTTGACAGCTAAATCGCGTAGTTCCGAAGACGGTTTACTTTTGCCACCTCCATGCACTTGTCCATATTTCGGGTCAGAATCTACTCCACCCAGACGAACTACGGAAGTTATTATAGTTCCCGGTGGGGATATTAATGGATGTAACGGGTATCCTAGAAATGGGAACATGAAAGAAGAACAGTCCACGCCATTTTTTAGAAGGTCTAGTCGTGGTGCTGCTTCTATGGTGACTTGGGACGAAGCGAAGCGATTTCGCAGAGGCTCCAGTTTTGGAGGAGCCAGGACTACACTTTCGACTCCAATCCGAAGTATACGCGCCCAAAGAACTATAGCCAGGTCACAGCAAGTGACTGCTAGTCCACAACGCCAAACGCCTAGAACGCATCATTCTAGAAATTCAAGTGTTATTTCCAGAAATTCCTCCCGTCACGGCAGGATCTTACGGTTAGAGCAGAAAGCAACTAAAGTTTTAGGGGTTGTATTTTTCACGTTTGTAATTTTGTGGGCTCCATTTTTCATTCTGAATATGGTGCCGGCTGTGTGTTCTCACTGCGAGGAGAGGATCTCGCCATGGGTGTATGACTTCGCCTTGTGGTTAGGCTACGCCAGTTCGATGGTGAATCCAATATTCTATACAATATTTAACAAAATATTCAGGCAGGCTTTTAAGAAGGTCCTTATGTGTGGGTATTGGAAATCGACGAGGTAGCCGGCACCCTGGGAGCGCGTTCGTCCGACTTCTGATCCTGGTATCGGAGCGCTCTCAGTCAATAGGAACATCCGATCTCAATTTGTATAAACTCATTGAAGAGCTTTAAGTATTACGCTTTTAGTTTTAGAATGCATCAGTGGTCGTTAGTTATAAATCGTTAGAATTTAATCCAATGTCCAGTTTGAAGAGAGTTTAAATAATATTGTCTACAAATGGAAGTTATGCTTCATATCCTGCTAAAAATAGAAGATAGGGGTGTACTTGGTGGTTTTTGATTTTGCAGTTTATTTCTAAAACATCTTATTATAACCATAAGATAAATAAATTCGAGACCCTATACTAAATTATATTGACTAAAAGTGACGGGTTACTCACGTCAATATACCAAGAACAGCTCTAGGTACTAGTTTCGAGTCACAGAAAGATTATTTCTCATGAGTGGCTTGCGCGGTCGCAGCGACATGCGGTGATGTCTCACGAGATGAGTTATTATAAAAACATTCCAATACTACTTTTTTTATAATATTTGAGGGCTGACGTTTGACCACTATCTTGCCTAGTGGCGAGCGATGATGCGGTCTTCGATGGAACTTGAATATTGATACTTCACTCGGACCTTGAACATACCCGGTTATACTCTTCAGGAAATACAGACTTTGGCAAAGAATTCCACTCCTTTTCCTCAGTACGCATAAGGAAGCTTGATGCGATGCGCTTCGTGCGTGTGGGTGGACATCTACCATGAATCGGTGACGCTTCGCCGACTGTCTTATAGTACGATAGTATAAAAGACTAGGGAGAATCAAGTTGTGCAATTCCCCCACACACTATGTTTCATTGCTCTCAATAAGTTAACATAAACTTCAAGTATATAATACACATTCACATATATTGGAAAATGTAATTTATCATTTTAAAACTGCACAAAACACGCCAAGTACTCCTCAAACTGAAATAGACTTTTGTCAAACTATTTTTAATCATAGGTGCTGTGCACATAGTATATATTTCAATGCCGCGCACAAATTAATGGAATAATATTTGCTTCCATTCTGACCTCGTTACTTTCACGCAATTTATAACGTTAAACATATTTTTGCTTTTCGGCGAACTAAATATAATTATTTATACATGAAAAATACTGGGAAAGGGAACATAGAATCGGTTACGTCATTAATTTAAAGTAGGTATGTTTGTAAATATTAATTATGTTCTTGTGTATTTATTATAATTAATATGATTCAATTTGTTATATACTTGGCAGCGTTTGTTAAGTTTGATTATTTTTTAAAATTCATGTTTGTAAGATTTATACATATAAGTAAGTTTTGTTTTAGGTTATAATTATGTAGTATTTATTCGCCTTTTAGTAATAGTACATCTGCTATCTGAATGTTAAACCTACCGGCTTACTTTTACATAGATATATGTATAGAGAACTGGAACAATATAATGGGTAAAGACATTAGGTAAACATTCAATTCAATTGTATTTTTAATATAATATAAGTATATAGATATATTTATTTGAAATTAGACCTAGGTTTATATAATTTAACTATGATTTTAGTGCATTATCCAATTTTAGAAAAAAACCAAGGAATAAACAAATTTATTTCAAGACTGATTCCTTTAGAAAGTACTTAGATCGCTTTCTTGTCTGTTTTTTTTAGTAATTTGTTGTGAATGTATGCAATGGGGTAGTAGACACTGTATGAAAATTAAAAATGTAATTAGTCCGTCAGTTAGATAATGAATAAATATTACACACATTTTTTTTGCCGTATAAAAGAACAATACTTAGATATAACAGAGTTAAGTTTAGGAAGGGAGGTCGTTACGTCACGCTACCCTATAAAATGTAATAAATCGTGACGTCACACTATATTTCGAATCAATATATTGTCGAAATACGTGTCTAATGCTTTAAAATAATCTACCAGACGGACATTAAAATAAAATTTAGTATACTACCCTATTTAGATGATTGTAATATGATATAAAAAATAAATGAGTCGCGATGAATTATGAATACAAATAATTGTGTGTTTGTTTGTTCGTAAAAATACATAAAATATGCTATAAATGTTGCAAAGTCGATAACTCTGCATTGGAAAGATTCTACAATGTAATGTAATACACTTTGTTATTAAAAAACTATCGCGAGACATAATAAATTAACTAAAAATCGCGGGTTACTGAGGTGAATATACTGAGAAAAGCTCTACTAGTTTCGAACCACAGAGGGGATCGTTGCGCGGTGCTCTACTGGTAGACTGTGCGACATCGCCGCAACCGCGCATGCTGCCCATTAGAAAGAACCCTTCTGTAGTATATTCATGTAAGTAACCCACGATTTTTAGTTAATATGACACTTAGTTACATTTTTTTATAATCTAATGTATTTATTTTCCGTTATAGCTGTTTTAGTGTTTTGTAGGATTGAATTCAATTTATTTTGTCAATGGAAACATAATAATATTTCATATCTGCTATAGAATAAGTCTCATTTCGCATATATACATTGCCTGTATGAAAAAAAAATTGTCCAGTAGTACTACTGGTCCAGTTGTACTGGACAATTTTTTTCTTCAATAGATAGTAATTCTTAAGAAAGTTTTGAAATGTTTTATTTATTTTGTTTTGACCACACAGTCGTTCATATAATTTATGGCCTAAAATAACAGCGTGCCCTTTAACCCCGAAGGGGTACACAGAGGCACACATTACGGCACTTAATGCCACTGTACAATGTAACACCCACTTTTCCCTATTTATGTTAAGAGTTCCATGTAATATGGGATTTATTTTTTTACCAAATTTTTTACATTTATTTTTATGTAGTTATATAGTTATCATAGTTTCATAAATTTCAATAAATGCAGAGTTATTGATAAAATAGTTTGATCACTGTTGTATAATTACATTAATTTAAACTTAAATTTAATTATAAATGTAATTAATAATATATTGTTTACAGTCGATTAAGTTTGCATTAAATGCCAAGCTTTTCCTAGTCCTGTGTTTATAGTCTTAGATAACCTACTACTGTAATTCAATGTGATGTTAAGTAAGTCTAAAGTACACTTTATTACAATGTGTCGTGGTTTAAATTTCAATGACCAACATGGTTCTTTGCAAAAGTCACCTCCATTTTATTTTTTCAATAAATAGTATTGATTTTGTAGTGTTTTAAGTTGGTTACATTTTTTTCGAACTTATGTAGTCCGGTAAAGTACACTGTGTACCATCATAATATAATATACAAGGTGTTGTTTTAAAGCCGCATTTTCTAAGAGGTAACTTGGCTATCGATTCTGAGTCCGAATCAATAAAAAAAATGTAGGTAAATATTTTTCATTTTTCTGTAAATTACGGAAATCCGTAAGTGCGAACTACATGCCGCCATCTTGTAACTAGCTTTATAACGCGGCTTAACACACAAAAACTCAAACACGTAATTGATATTATTCCTAATTTCATAAAACTCCAATAAGAATCATTGCTGTCGCTTATTCTGAAATACTGTCGAATTAAACGATTTATTACAGCCGTATTTTTAACTATTGACCCGAAACTTTCTCTTACATTGAACCTTTATGACTTCTGTGACATGCCCCCGAGAAATGCCACGATTTCAAAACTACACCTTGTATAAAATTTCTATTGAATTATAAAGTTTAAATGGATTGGAAAGTTTGTAATCAACTCCAAATACGAATATAATAAAATATTTTCATATTATAAGTATAAAGAAAAATGTTTAAAATATATATAAGTCCTTGAAATATACGACTTCGCTCTACCTACGATTAATTTTTATATTTTTTTAAATATAACTGACGTAAGTTAGATAAATTCGGAACAAATCTAGTCGTCTCACGCAAATAAATAAAAATGTAAATACAAAACTACTATTATTATAATAATTAATTATTATAAAATGTTAAATGGAAGTAATAATCTATAATTAATGTAAATAAAAGATAAATTTATGGCAATGTTTAAAAAAATGGTGTCAATAATTATGATTTCATCGTTAACAGTAATAAAACGATTGGATCGTATTGTTTTTGTTTTATTTATTCAAGGAATATACTTTATACTGCTTATCACTACATAGTATAAAACAATATCGCTATCCGTTGTCTGTCTGTCCCTATGTATGCTTAGATCTTTACAACTACGCAACGGATTTTGATGCGGTTGCTTTTAATAGATAGAGTAATTCTCAAGGAAGCTTTATATTTATAATACAGTGAAACCTGGTTAAGTGAGACATCAAGGGACCTGCAATGTCGTTTCACTTATAGAGGTATTCCACTTACCCAGTGTCTCAGATATACAGGTATAAATAAATATCTGTCTCATTTACAGCGGGTTCCAGTAATAAATTAAATTTCAATTCAAAATTTCTAGAATAAGATCATTCTTATTCTACCCCGAAATTTCACACGTAATTCCAAGTCCACCTCTATTAATGGAACCCTCAGTAAATGAGACAGATATTTACTCATGTAAACAAACAATGTTATCTCAGTTACAGAGGTTTATGCATATAAAATTTACTCGCTGTCTCAGTTATAGAGGTAACTAAGATGATAAATCGAAAGAACAAATCCCAGATATAGAGGTTTACCTTGTCCCATTAACAGAGGTAATTCAGTGCCAAAGTGTTGGGACCTCAGCATGAGTTCCAGTTATGGAGGTTTCTCACTTATCCAGGTCCCACTTAACCAAGTTTCACTGTACATGCATATTGCACCCGTGAGAAAAGCGGGGCGGGTCGCTAGTTCTTTATAAATAAATAAATTTCCGTTTGTAAGTCCTGCTAATACTCCAGAACGGCTGAACCGAAGGGGTTAATTTTGGTTTTAAAATGTTCGTGGAAGTTCAGGAAAGGTTTAAAAGGTGAGATTTTTTTATTTTTTTGGGGTTCGAAGTTTGACAGGTATAAAATAATTGTACATTAGTAATTTTATTAAGACAGAAGTTCGATAGTAGGTTGCTTACATCTTACTACAAACAAAAATACAGGAAACACTATTCAACCGATTCAAGTAGCGAAACAATAAGTTCGGCACTGTGGGTTCAAACCCCACCGTCAATAGATTTTTCAAAACTAACCTATTAAATTAATATACAAATAATAATTTATTAATTTCGTGGTGGCATGAAGGTCTCATGCTTGCACGCTTACTA